GCCTATCCTTCCTGAGCAAGCTGTATCCTTCTATGCCAATATTCCAATTGTGTGTATTATCCCACCAAGTCCCTGTGCTACCAACAACTGTCATAGGTGTGTTTATCTATTAGCACTTCAAGGCCTTCCTGCTTATTCCCCATACAGCTTGGGTGCATCTAGACTGGCCGCTTGAATTTGCGCAAGAGCACTGACGTTCTAATGTCAGAATTCAGTGCTTCTTGCGCGAATACTTTGACACTCCCGCTCAGGATAAGCCCTCTTGCGCAAGAATACTTGCGCAAGAGGGCCAGTGTAGACAGGGTAGACAGACACCTTAATTTTTTGTGCAAGAAAGCCCGATGACTAAAATGGCCATTGGAGCTTTCTTGCGCAAAAGCGCATCTATACTGGGCACGGATGCTTTTGTGCAAAAGCACTTTTGCACAAAAGCATCCGTGCCAATCTAGACACTCTTTTACAGAAATACTTCTAACGGAAAAACTTTTCTGTTGAAAGTATTTCCGCAAAATCATGCCAGTCTAGATGCAGCCCTTATGTTTGTAGACTGGCATCTAAAATACAGATTAGATTTTTGCCTCCCAGTGCTCCCTTGTCCCTCCTTTATCTCTTCTATTATAGCCCACAATCCCTCCCATTTCTGACCCATCTCCTAGGTCTCCATGTTTTTCACTTACCTGTGGATTTTGGTCACTTGCCCCCATTGACCTAATTTAAAGCCTCCTTACTAGGTTGGCCAGTCTGTGTCCCAATACTCTCTTCCCCTTCCTCGAAAGGTAAACTCCGTCCCTGCTGAGCAGCTCTTCCTGCAACAGCATCCAATGGTCAAGGAAGCCAAAGCCCTCTGCTCAGAGCTGTAGCTTTCTGTGCCCAGGGAGCCAGACATGGCAAGGGCTGGAAGGCAGGAGGGAAATGAGGAATGGCTGCACTTTGGAAGTTGAAGGTGTTGCCTGGGTCCATAAAGTACAGTTTTAAGGACACTTTCAAGGATGGCACCATGGCTTCGCTGGCTAAAGCATCTGTTTAGTAAACATGAGATCTTGGGTTCAACTCTGAGTGGTGCCTCTGCTCACATTTTCCCATAGCCTTCTGGGACACAGAAGAGGCCTCCCCTGGCCACCCATGGAGCTGCTTGTTCAGGAAAAGGCTGATTAGAGAGGCGCCTTGGAAAGAAGGAAACCACAAGCCTGGTGCAGAGGCTGCTGTGAGACTCCAACTGCTGGGAAAGGAGAGCCAGCACCACATGCCCTTGTGATTCCCTGGGGATGTCAATGCCCAGAGATTCTGAGAGTGCAGTTCCTGCAGCCATGGACAGTTACTCTCCTCCCCTCCCTTGGGATGGGCAATGGCAACACGTGGAGCAGCTGGGAGGAAAGTCCCAGAAAGCAGTCCCATGGCTAAGCTGACAGGTACAGTGGAGGTGAGAGATGCAGCCCCAAGCGGTGCCTGGTCAATGTGTCTGCTCTTCCTACCATCCCTCCATACGTAGCTAGAATCAGCTTTCCCTTCAGTCAAGCTTGGCCATGTCCCCACAGCGGGAAGTCAAAGGGACCAAAGAGCAGAAGTACTGGAAGCTGGTAGGGGTGGCCTCTGAGTTTGATTTGGAAAGTCTTAGTTGGACTGGCTAAATCAAACTCTGGAAGATCAATTGCAAACATTCCTCTCCAGCTGGACATGGCTCTTGTTCTTCTGCACAGCCCATGGAGCCATGGGCCTGCCAGTGGGCATTTAGATCACACCCTTGGTGAATCAAAGGAAACAGGAACCTGAGAGACAGTTGGCTTTATGCCCAGGGTTCTCTGGAAAACAGAGGAGCAGTTCTGTGTGAAGAATCTTCCAGGAATTTTCTTTCTACTGTATTCAGAAGACAAGAATTTGTGGACTTTTTTTTTTTTTTTGCTACAAATAATAAAGTTTGCATCAACCCCCCCGCCTGACTCCTACACTCAGGCTACGTCTACACTGGCATGGTTTTCCGGAAATGCTTTTAACGGAAAAGTTTTCCGTTAAAAGTATTTTCGGAAAAAGTGCATCTAGATTGGCAGGTTGCTTTTCTGGAAAAGCACTTTTGCGGAAAAGTGTCCATGCCAATCTAGACGCACTTTTCCGCAAAAAAGCCCCGATCGTCATTTTCGGGGCTTTTTTGCATAAAACACTGGCCCTTTTCCAGAACAGTTTTCCGGAAAAAGACTTTTGCCCGAACGGGAGCAGCATAGTTTTTCCAGAAAAGCACTGATGATTTTGCATTAGATTGTCAGTGCTTTTCCGGAAATTCAAGCAGCCAGTGTAGACAGCTGGCAAGTTATTCCGGAAAAGCGGCTGATTTTCCGGAATAACTGGCCAGTGTAGACACAGCTTCAGTGTCTCCTGTTAGTGGCAGAACCGAGCTAGTCCTGTACAGGGAAGAGAAAACCAAATGCCCCATCTGCCTTGTAATATCTGACAG